TTTTTTGTTTTGAATTTTTTCTATTTCTTTCTAATTCTTTTTCTTTTGATAATTCAGTTTCCAATTCTGTTTGTTTCCAATTGTTTTTCTTTTTCTTCATGTTCCTTTTCTTAGTCATATTCCTTTCCGTATTTTATTTTCTTCAACTTATTACAATTCCCATTCCAATTCTTTTTCCTTTATTAATTATTTTTCCATTCCCTTTTCTAAATCTTTCTCTCTTTCTAAATCTGTTTCTTCTTTCCTGTTTCTAATTGTGAGAATCCTTTGTTTTTTGGCTCAAAGCTTGCTTCCTGAGGTTTTTCTTGTGATAAGACTCTCAATGATTTGTTAAGGAGGCAAGTGATGGGTGCTAACCGTGTGACAATCGGTATCACTTTGGGAACATTTGAAAGCCCCTTCCTCCAGAGCTGCTTGCCTCCGGAATAGAGTGCTCAGGAGTGTTCACTGGCAGAAGATCTGGCCTGTGACTAAAGAGCTCCAGCTTGGTATGGGAAAATTGGGGAATTATACCATCGTGTTCTGTGAAAAACAAGATGCAGATAGGCATCCCTGTTCCCTCTTGTCTGCTGGCAAGGCCCAGAAGATGGGAACAAAGGAGTTTCTGCTGAGATCCCAGAGCCAGAAGCTGCCGCTCCAAGGAGAGCTGACTCAACCACATTGGATTTGAGCTGTCACTCCAAAGACAGCTGACTCGACCACTTTGAAACTATTGAAAAGGGGCTGTCATCGCCATGGTCATGGCCGTCGTTCTCATCATTCTCCTCGTCGTCAACAGAACAATGCCTGACGACCCACCACTACTGAAGATCAAAGACTGAACTACAAACCACGCTAGATCCATGGTGGTGACTGTCTCCCTCTTGCTTCCTATAAAGACTCCTTGCTTCTTCTTCTCTATCTTTTCTATCTTTCCTATCGCCCTCCTTCCCTTCCCCATTACCCTAATTCGTAATAGCCTCCGTCCTCCCCTTCCCCATTTCCCTAATTACGATTTGTAATAAATTGGTCGGACCAACATTTGAACTGTTGTTTCTTAATCTCACGCCGGGTATATAGATAATAAAAGAACCTCCTCTCCCTCCTATAAATTGGAGCAAGACACTAATCTGCTTTGTTTTTCTAATTTTTTTTCCTAATTCTTTTCCTATTTCTTTTTCCTGTTGCAAGTTTTTCTTTTCATTGCAAGTCTTTTTCCTTTTTCTATTTCATTTTTTTTTCTTTTTTGAATCCCAATTCTTTTTCAAATTGTAGTTCTTGTGTTCTCTTTCTGGATCATTTTCT